CTGGTTGCTTGTTTGGTTTGTTGCCTGGTTGGTTGGCTGGTAGGTTCCTTGGTTAGTTGCCTGGCTGTCGACTTTTTGTAGGGGGCCCCAGTTGTGATCATGCGCCCAGATATGTTCCATACTGGATGAACGAGCCCACTTTGTTTCTTAGGCAGCAAACACAGAGACTCAATGAGACTGGGACGTCGAAATGGTACCATGGAGGCTGACAGAGTTTTGTAAAACTGCCATCTCAAAACGCACCCTGTCCGCCTTCAGGGTGTATTTTTGTTATACTCTATGCTCACCTTTGATTTTAAGAAGTTGGCATTCCTGCATGTGAAATCTCTTAGCACCCCTCGCCCCGACTGTGTTTTTATTGGGGGGTAGCCTCTGGAGGAGGACCGACAGAACTTGTCTCCTCGAACTGTGCCATCCTTTCACATTGTTTTTCCAGTAAACCTGGACCAGAATCTGAGCTCAAGCTGCGTCAGAAAACACAGCGAGACAACAAGGCCAGTCATTTGCCCGCTGTTCCTTGACCCACTTAAAACGCTTAAGACCGTCCCCGCAGCTTGCCTTTGCAGCAAGTATTTGTGCACTCCCAAAAAATGCGCTCCTTGTGACGACGCGGGGCTGTTTTGCGAGGCACAGAGCCCATGACGGGGATAGAGTTTTGCAGCGGCCACTCTTCGCTCTTCACGCCGCTGGCCTACCTATGCCCCGTAAGTTGCCACTCGCCCACAATGCGCAGAGGCACTTGTGTAGGGGATAGTCTTGCCCCGAATTTTTGAGGACATCCGGGCCTTGACGTGGGTTTCGCTAAAACCACCTGGTTGGCTGTTGGCACCTCAAAGTTGGGTTCCCAATATGGTCAGTCCATACTGTCCTACAGAAACCGCAGAACTTTCCAATTGTTCTTCTGTTTTTAGAGGGCGCAGCTAGTTTGACCCTGGCGCAATAGAAAGCCCGGAAATCCCTGCAAATGGCGATGGTGGGGGAATTGGTTCTTGATCAATTCTTTGCTGAGTGCAGCAAATTAAATGCGAACAAACATAGACAGTTTCCAGAAATCACCAAAGGTCCCACCCTGTTTGTCCTTTTGAAGGTCTTGCAAGGGCCTCCATGCCAGTGGGTTTGAGGCAATTTGAAGTCTAGACTTTGTTTGAGGCCTTGAGACCGCAGGAAAATAATCAGGTTTTGTGGCAGGCGCAGCACTTTCGCAAGGTCAAGCACGGGTTTGATGGCAGGCGCAGCACTTTGAGCAAGATAGATAGATAAATAGCCAGATAGGTAGATGAGATAGATGGATAGCTCGACAAACAGATAAATAGCTGGTAGAGACACAAACAATCAGAAAGACGAACGACTACATATAGATACATATATATATATATACAGATTAGATAGATAGATAGATAGGTAGGTAGATAGATAGATAGATAGATAGGTGGACAGATGGAGAGATACGTGCACAGGTAGGAAGCGGGAATGTAGACAACTAAATGAGTGGATGGATTGATGGCTGGGTTGATACATCGGTCGTTAGATGGATAGGCAGACACATATGTAGACAGAGGAACAGACAGATTGCTAGATAGATAAATAAATAGCAGAATATGTAGAACGCGCAATAGACTACAAGAGGTTTGGTAGCAAGAACTTCCGCTAATCGTCTTCGCCGTCTTTACTGGTAGCATGCGGTTCTTGGCCGAGGTTCGTTTCGAAAATCCGGGCCCAAAAGAGACCGAATACAATTTCTCTTGACGCACCGACGCAATAGAAACGAGCTGCCGGCAGCTCACCCGTGATGAGGGCTTCCTTGCTTAGGGATCTCTGAGTTCGGTTGCTGTGTGCTTGCGTGAAGTTTGTGGGGTGGGCCTTGCAGGTGTGCATCATCACCCATCCGGGCATCGCCTCATAGAACTGCCACTGTTTCAGCAATTTCCTCGCTTTATTGAGCAAATTTTGTTGCGGCGTGCGGGCTCGGCTGCTTGGGTCGGCGGCTACTTCTTTTTTTGGCCTGGGCTTGCCTTTGTCGTCGAGAGGGCCCACGTGTAGTGGCGATCACCTTTGTATCTCCATGATGAAATTTTGGACTTGGACACAGTTGCCCAGCCAGCTGAGGATGGCCAAGATTGGATGCACTTCACTACTTCTCGAGGCTGTGCGTCGTGCATGTTGTAGTGCTTGGAAAGGCGCGCGGCCTTGCCTGCCTGTCTGAGCTCGGCTCTATTTCGTGACGCTTTGCGATTGCGGGCGGGCGCGCTGCAGAATTGTTCGACGTCCAAAGCTTGTAGCATAGTTGCAGCACTGCCTTCCACCAGACCAACCCTCGAAGCCGGACGTGCAACAGCCGGGCACGGGCAGAATCAAGCAGCCCTTAGACCGGAGCCTCTGAAACGGCATCGTGTTTACAATGGGTTGACCGCAAGGTAAACACCAAGACTTGCCACAAGGTCGCTCTGAGTTTCAGGCAGCCAGGCTGCTTTTTTTGAAAAATGGCCAGGCGTAATTGCGCCTCTACGGAGCACGTGTGCTGCCCATGAAAACGCAAATTACGCAGGTAATTTCGCAGGCCTTTTGCAGCCCAGCAAGGTCACGGGCAGTCCCCCATGAATGCAGATGAATTAGTGATGTCCGCTGACGGGACAAGCCCTGCACGGCCCTTGTAGGTCCCCACGAATATATGCAGACCACGCAGATGATGCAAGTGATGTCCGCTGACGAGTTTCCAGGTTGCCCGGGCAGGCCTGCAGCGCTTACAAACCTGCAGCCCCAGCAAGCGCCCAGGAAAATGAAGATGGTACCGTTTTGTTTTGACTGAGTTGCCGTGCTGTCGCATCAGCCAGCAGCATACTTGAGGCTCCGCGCGCAGTCGGATTGAGTTGACTTCTGGCCAGGCAGTCTCAGTTTGTTTATGTAGGGGTTGTTCGAAGTGAAGCAAAGCAATTGGGTTTGTCTCAAAATACTGGGAAGCTGAGGGGTAAACTGCAATTTTTCTCGTCGTCCTATCAGTTCCCTTGACAGCGGCCCAAACATGCGTAACGCTACAGCCAAAAACCGCACGCCGGCTCTTTCGATCTGTTTCCAATCGGAAAGCCGAAATTGGAGGTGGGTGCATGCCCAGCACAGCCCTGGAGAGCTGCCCGATAGACTGCACCTGCACGGACAATGAGAAGGACAAGGGAGAAGCAAGCTGCACAGCTTGGCGCGTTTTTAGGTCTTGTTGGGGTTCTGTTCATTCTCCGTCCTGGATGAAAATTATATTGGGTTTAGCTTGACGACAGGTGGCCCGGAAGCATAGAAAGACTCTCTCACATCACCTCATAAGAAACAAATCACAAACACGTCGCCCAGCCCTTCCAAAGCACGTGGTAAACCAGGGTTTCGCACAAAGACCCCGCGTTACTGTTGAAAGACCCAAATTCACTTTCTCATCAGCAACCTCGATTGTCCAAAGCACGCAACCAAAATTGTAGCCACACCATTTGCGAAAACGAGCTCTCGCAAAGCGAGGAGTTTTTCAAGCGCGTTCACGAGCTTTCGTTTCACGTTGCGTTCACTGGGCGTTGACGCTTCGCTTGGTTGAATCCATTTTGCTCCGTGTGCTTGAGCTACATCGGCAAAACTATCCGCGCGTGCTGTTGCACGTGATGTTGCGCATGATGGTCGCATGACGTTGCGCACGATGCAGCGCATGATGCTGCGCATGATGCTTTGCAACCTCTCTTGCCTTGAAAAAAACGCTTGTCCATATGTTTGAACACTACTTTTGCGTCGCAAGTTGATTTTTGTGCTGCGTATTCGTGTGCTGCTTTTCCATTGTAAAGTTCATTTTTTCGAGCTGGAGATGCGAGAGCACACTTTCCGAACAATACTTTCGCGCTTGAAAGTTGTGGTTCCGAGCTGGAGCTGCGCAAGCGCTGCGCGCACCCCTTTGCACGTAGCCAATTACGATTTTGCAGCCGGAGCTGCGGGAATGCGCTTTGCGAAAGTTGCGATTTTGCAGCCGGAGCTCCGGCGTCGGGAATGCTCTTCCCGTACTTCTTTTTGTACGGGGAGCTCGCTTCGCGTACTACTTTTCGGAGCGCTTTTTGCGTACTACTTTTCTATTTAGCAATGCGATTTTACTCCGGAGCTCCGGGAGTGCACTTTACGTACAGCTTTGAACAAAAACACAATTTTACCGCCGCAGCTACGGAAATGCGCTTCCCGTACTACTTTTGTACCGAAGGTGCAAATGTCGAGCCGAAGCTGCGGGAGCGTGCTTCGCACTTTGCACGGCAAGACATCCGCATGGCCCAACAGCGAGAGGGCTTCGACACGCACCAAGACACATTTGCACGGCGCCACAGCGAGAGTGCTTCGACGCATACGGTGTCCGCAGAGGGTTCGCCAAGATCAAGACACATGCGCACGGCGCCACAGCGAGAGTCGCGGAGCTCAAGATTCGTTTGCACAGCGCCAAGCGAGAGCGCTTCGACACGCACGATCTCCGCAGAGAGTTGGCCGAGCTCAAGACACATTTGCGCGGCGCAACCACTAGCATCAGCGCACGACATACTGTCCACACCACGAAAAAAACGCATGCCGTGTTACAGAAGGCTGCGCTGGCCATGGAATCTAGCCGTCACACGCGGATAGAAGATCGGCACGGCGCCACAGCGAGAGCGCAGTTTTGAAGAAAGGTCCGTTTCGTGTGAGGGTGTCGCGCGCAAGAACACGATTTGCGACAACTGCTATGGTTTAAGAGGTCCTGTCCAAGCGTCGTAGCCGGACCCGACAAAAGACATCCACCGCGTAGCGGCCCTGCCATCAAAAACGCAATTTCAATCTCAAGAAAGGTGTTTGGCGCGAGGCTTCCTCAAAAAACCCTGCGCGAACCTGCGCGCGACACGTCCCTGCCAGCAAAGCGGAAAATGCGCACGGCGCCAAAACTAAAGCGCACGCACCAGCGCGAACCCAATTTCGTTCGAGACCGTTGCGTCGAAGACAACTTTTGACGCACGGGCCGGCACTTCGAGCGCGAATCTTCGATCCAACCCGGCCTTAACTCTTGCCGTAAGAACCCCTTATATAGTGTAAAGACTATTTGGGGAACAAAGTTGTTCGATACCATGGTTTGGGAAGTAGAGGCAACATGTTCCGAGGACAATGGCTGGTCTTTGTGACCCCCTACAACGGCCCCTGGTTGCCGGAGCCACCCAGTGGGGCGACCCCAACGCAAGGGCGCCAGCACGAAGGTTCCCAGCTATTTCAAGGTCCCAGACATCACTTGCTGGTTGCCAAATTTAGTTGAGTTTCCTGCAGAGTGATGGTCCAAAGGAAGTATCACGGGAGCCTAAGGGTCCTCAAGGGCGCGTGGTATCTCGCACTGAGCTAGGTAGTGACTTTGCAGCCCCAACCATGCGGCATTCCGCTCTTTTGGTTCTTGCATGGGTTTCCTTGCTGGTGACCCAATTATGCGGCGAGTCCGGCTTGAAAGAGCACATGGACTCAGTCGTTCTTTTGGCAAAAAAACAGAGCAAACCAACGGTGCTGTTGGTGTGCGGTTCGCCGGTGTGTACCACCTCCGGCGCCTTTTCCCTGAGGATCTACCCGACGAGCTTTATCAAGACTGTTCGGAGGTGGTAGCGAGGGGGGACTGCACGGAGTTTGGCATCGGAGTCCGCTACTGTCAGAGACAATGCCACTCCGCCCCAACAAAGCGCTTTCTGACACCGGATTTGGGTCAGTCGGTAGCCCCTTGCGAGGCTTGCAACTTTTGGACCGGACAGATGCAGGACAGATGCAGTTTCAACGGATTGGTCTGTTTGGGAAAGTTTTCTTGGAGCCCCTTGCATGTGTGGGAACCCTCTTGGTTTGATTGTGTGCTTCCTCAAGGAGCGCAAAGACAAGTCGTGTTTGAGTCGGCCCCGGTTTCCTTCCCTCTAACATTGCTGTACGTTTGTCCGTCACCGGTGCCCGAAAAGTGTCCACGGGAAGATGGGAGCATTTGTAGGGGGTTGGTTTGTGCGTCTGAGAGGTCCTTTGGGTTTAGTTTGCCTTTTCTAGGCAATAGCCGGTTTTGACACGCACACGCACACACATGTGTCACGTGTCACATGTGCATCGATGTGCCTTGTTTGTTCTATGTACGGCTTCATGTCATACGCATCGTGCGATTGTCATTTGTTCGCTACAGTGACACAACTTGCCCGGACATTGTTGAACCTGTATGCTTACTGTATGGGGGGTTCCAAAACCGCATGGAGGTGAAATACAGGCGTAGCTATGCTGTGAATAATCTACCCTAGGCACCGTCTTTTGAACACTCCTAAAACTTTCGCCCACTGGAAGAGATAGATGTTCAAGGTTTTTAGATATCTCCCCCCCTCCCCCCAGTGTTTGGTTGCTTGAAACTTGTCGGGAAGATCATTCTAGGGGCAAACAAGTCAAGCCGCTTGAACGACGATTCACGCAGTAAGATTTGGTATGGTTTAGATCGGAACAAGAAAGCTCTTTAGCTTAGCTCAGGCGTAAAAATAAACGCTTTGCATTCCTTTGTGGCTTCTACGTCTCGTTTGGCAACACAACAGGTTGATGATAGCTACGGTTCCACTGGAAGGCTTGGGATCTCAAAGGCCCTTATTCAGATGCCAAAAGTCTTACGCAACTTTGTTTGGTGGAAAGCGCCAAGGCAACCTTTGCAACGTGAAGGTGCCGTGAGTGCGGTGAGGCGCTGGTACATCCTGCACCTTCATTTTAACACTTTGTTTGCTCGATGTGGTTTGTCAAAATTTGTCTTGCCGACTGAACAAATATGGGTGTGGGCCGAGTTGGAAACAAATTGACCGATTGATCGGAAAAGTGGCGTGGCTATCTTTGCAGGCTGTTGTTTATCTGTTGTTTTGCATGGACGGCCTGCCCGCAAACCGGCTATGCGGATGCTGTTTGCCCTGCCTCAATACTTCTGGATTGAATTTGGGTCGCAATTATCTGCCAAAATAGCAAATGGTCGGACAAATGGTCAAATCTTGGTTCCCATTCCTCTGCCTGGCTCCACCTCTTGACGGCACGCACATCAGGATGTGCCTAGAGCCGCAGGCTCAGCCAACCCGACAATGCTTCACGGGTAAAGACACCCCTTGTTTTTGTTTGGTTACTTTTTGTTGTTATTTTCGAAATGTGTTTGTTCTCAGAAAACTGCTCGATTGCAACAACGGCCAGTTAGTGAAGGCCACTTCCCGAAAAAGAAATCAATGTCACAATTGAACAAACATAAATATTTGATCGTTTGACGCTGCAGGATATGTTATCTTTGTGGGCCAAAGAAACGGGACACCAAACCTACAGCTGTTTTTCTGTGGTTCCAACCATGAATGTGTCTTTTTGAGATTCGATATCTTTGGTGGGATTGGTGTTTACAAGGAATCCACAAGCTATTTGATTGAGACAAGCCCACATGGGCCCGGAGAATGCACGCGGCACGGCCTCCGAACGGAGCGAATCGAACGTGCCGAAACCGGGCTGAGGAATGGAACTCAGGTTGCCAGAAGGCACTTTGCTCATGGATGGAGCATCCCATCTCAATGAATCGGGTTACCGGGTTGATCTCAATTGGTGCATTGGCGCTCTGGGAATTTGAAATTAGGGTTCTTGTAAGGGGTAAAGGGGAATTCACCCCCTTACCTTCAGATCACGAATCCAAACTACCAATTAGAGGAAGCTGAAAGAACAAACTACTGCTTGTTTGGGGGACATCTTTGAACGCCATCTGTTGCAATGATGCAGGCTGGGCTGCCACCCAAGCGGCGAATATTAAGCGTGACAACAGTTGACAAGTGGCTTTGGACATGGTTCAGGTAGATGACTCCTGGAACCACATATCACCGTATATGTATGCAAGTACATAGACGAAGTAACAACGGGGCATGACTGACCTGCTTGGATACCTCAGCCCGGCACGCCCCAACACGATCTTTGCCGGTCCTTCGCTTCATGCTTCGCACCAGCGACTTTGGAAAAGGAGGCGTGCGAATTAACACTCTCGGAGAGACGGAGGGACATAGCCCATATCAATTTCCCCTAACAGTGGATGGGAAAAGGTTACATTGTTGTCAAGGCCATTGAGCGCCCGGAAAGGCCTGTACCTCTGATCTCAGCTTACCCTCAACCCTCGAGTCTTTGGCCGGGTGAGGCGTTTACGCAGACCTCTTCCACGTGCGACTGGGGCGGGGCTCCCTCGAATTTCTGATTTTTTGAGGAAGCCTCTTTTTTTTTGGAGGGGGGAGGGGGCGGGGGTCAAAGGGAAACCAAAGCAACATCAAGTTCACAAATAGCCGTCTCGAGGGGATTGCGCTTGAGCTCGCAAATGGGCCTTGTTCCCATGGCAGGCTGGGGAAAGTGATTTGACACAAATGTGAGACGAACCTGCTTTTGTGTAGGACCACTTCTAGAAAATCGGGAGAGGAACCGCGGCCTTTTTGAGCTGATACCAGCGCGTTTGGCTCGTAAAGCACGGGTACCTACCCCTACCCCACACTCCAAATACCCGGTATTTATAGTACATGTTGAAAGCCAAGTTCCACAGCAAGTGCCTCATTTTAGCCAGACATTTACATCACACATGTCATCCCCCCAAAACGGCTGGGATGTGGTATCTGGACTTGGGGAAATCTAAGATGTGCGTTGCACAGAAGCAACCTGATTCAAGGGTCGCGGACTTCAAGCCTTGGCCTGCAGCAACTTGTTACTCGACTGGCTCAGACACGGAAGGTCCATTCGGGGAACCCCACAGCGAGAGGATCTAACGGGAATGGGCACAGGATGGTTCGCACTTTCAGGGTGCATCCCATAGACCAACCTAAATTGATGGCTTTCCTTTCGGCGCCCTTTTCAACCACCTGAATCTCTGTTAAATTGAGCTTACGCTTGAAGGTCCGCTATGAACTAGAATCAAAGATGCCGTTTTCGCTTGGGGCAAAACCTGAGTGGTGGAAAGTGGGCTTCCCCAAAGACCCAAGCACCCACGTGGTCCTTTCAGCCGAGCTGAGCCATTATGTCGCGGGAGGTGCTGCTGTGCAAGGCCGGATTTCTCCAAAGTGTCCCCTTTTCCATGGTTGTTGGGAAGCATTTTCCAGCTTTGCTTCTTGCGGTTTAGTGGTTGAACTCCGACCACTTAGCTGCCATCTCCCAGGCGCAAGGATCAGCATTGGACCCAGAAAAGGACCGACGGCCGGGTGTGTGGCACAAACCCCAAAGCTGGCGGAATGGATCGGCTTAAAAAAAAAAAAAACTCAAAAACATGATTGGGCCGTGCCATTCATAGCTTGTCATGCATCCCCGGAGTTTGCGAATCCGTCAGTTGTTTCTTGTTGTTTGTATTTTCTCTCTTGGGGCGCGGGTTTCGTTGCTTGCTTGTTTGTTTGTTTGTTTGCTTGCTAGCTTGCTTGTTTGTTTGCTTGTTTGTTATGTATGTTTGTATGTTTGTTTGTTTGTTTGTTGGTTTTGTTTGTTTGTTTGTTTGTTTGTTTGTTTGTTTGTTTGTTTGTTTTCTTGTTTGTTTGTTTGTTTGTTTGTTTGTTTGTTTTGTTTGTTTGTTTGTGTGTTTGTTTGCTTGTTTGTTTGCTTGCTTGTTTGTTTGTTTGTTTGTTTGTGTGTTTGTGTGTTTGTGTGTTTGTTTGTTTGTTTGTTTGTTTGTGTGCGTGTTTCAATTGTTGTTTGCCTTGCTGTTTGCCTTGCTGCGTTTTGTTTGTGTGCTTACTTATTTATTTACTTGCTAGCTGGCTTGCTTGGTTTGTTGCGTGTTTGATTGCTTGCTTGTTTGCTTGCTGTGTTTGTTTGTTTGTGTGTTTGTTTGTTTGTTTGTTTCAGTTGTTGTGTGCCTTGCTGTTTGCCTTGCTGAGCCTTGCTGTCTGTTTGTCTGCTTGTTTGTCTGTTTAGCTAGCTTGCTTGTTTGCTTGCATGAGTTTGTTCGATTGATTGTTTCGTGTGTGTGTGTGTTTGTTTGTTTGTTTGTGTGTTTTAAGTTTTGAGTGTTATGTGTTATGTGCTAAGTGGTAAGTGTCAAGTGTCACGTGTGAAGTGTAAGTTTTAAGCGTTATGTGTTATGTGTTAAGTGTTAAGTGTGATGATGTTGATGTTGATGTTGATGTTGATGTTGATGTTGATGTTGATGTTGATGTTGTTGTTGTTGTTGTTGTTGTTGGTGGTGGTGGTGGTGGTGGTGGTGGTGATGGTGGTGGTGGTGGTGGTGGTGGTGTTATGTTTGTTCTTGCTCTTGCTCTTGTTCTTGTTATTTGTCTTGGTCTTGGTATTGTTATTGTTATTGTTGTTTTTTGTTCTTGGTCTTGGCCTTGTTCTTGTTCTTGTTATTGCTGTTGTTTTTTGTTATTGGTCTTGGTCTTGTGCTTGTTCTTGTTCTTGTTGTTGTTTTTGTTCTTGTTTTTGTTCCTGTTCTTGTTCTTCGTCTTATTGTTGTATTTTGTTATTGTTGGTATTGTTGCTCTTGTTGTTGGTGTGGTTGTCGTTTTCGGTGGAGCTAGCAGCGGCTAGCAGCTCGATTAGGTTTGGCACAGTCATGTCTCCCGTTTTCATGTGCAAGCCCTAACAGCGGCAAGATCTCTTTTGGCAATATGAGCAGGGAACCGCAAGTCGCGGTCGAGTGCAAGCCCTTCGTATACTCAAACAAATTGGGCAGCAGGGTGGGTCCAAGTTGGTTTTCAGCGATTGGTTTTTGGTACCCTCTAAGGGAGCCAAAGGGAGGTTGTGAAAGTAATACGTGTTCAAACTAGTCTAAACAAGTGGTTGGTCCAACACTGTTGGGCAGATTCTCATCGGTGCCTCACCGATGACCAGGGGTTTCGATATCGACCGATCTCATCCAGTCCGTTTTCGTTTCCGATTTGTTTCAACCCGGGCTGGAAGGCTCAAATAAGAACTCTAGTCGGGAGCCCGCTCCTCTATTCCGGCTCTTTCACCCTCTCTCGTTCGTTCTCGCTCGATGTTGCTCTCTCATTGTCTCTCTCTCTCTCTCTCCCTCTCTCCCTCTCTTTCTGTCTCTGTGTCGCTTTCTGTCTCTCACTGCATCTCTCTCCCTCTCTCTCTCTCTCTCCTTCTCTCTTACTCTCGCTTCTTCTCTTTCTCTTGGATGATTTTGATTCACCCAGAAAGCCTTGGATGGGCTTGACCTTTGATACCGCGCTTCAGGTCGATTATCATACCTCAGACGGTGTTTTTCCTTAGGTATTCGATTTGTTTGTGTTTTTTGGTTTTCTGCTGTATGATGCCAGGGCTCACAAGGATCTTTGGTCTCCTTCGACGCAAGGCCAAGGCTTATGTTTTTTTTCTTTGTGGGGGCGTTGATTCGAAACACTCCTATTCTCGCGGAGTTCGGAGAGTCGGAAAGGATTTTCTAGATTGCAAGTTAACCTGAGTTCGGCAAGATTTGTTCTGAACGACAAGCCGTCTGGTTCTTGTAGAGGGAAACCACATCTGGCCAAATCTAACCAAACCAAGTCTAACCAGTCCCAAGATTTGGGGTACATTACAGGCTTGCCTGTTCTCGCTGAGTGAACAAAGCTGGTTGCTCCACCCCCCTACAATGTTGGAATCCGGCGCACCTGCAAAGCACCTAAAGTTTCCCTTTGCTGGAGGCTGAGCTGGAAGAAGCACGGAATGAGCTGGCGATGGAGAAGTGTGAGCAAGAAGAGGACCGGGGGCAAGAAGCCAACAACGCCAAGTGCTTAACCAATGAAGCAAGACTCCCGCGAACCCCAAGGAAAAGGAACCAAGGGGAAACAAATTGAAAGCTCAAC